TTCCAGGACATCCGTCGCTGTACAGCATGCCCCTCCAAATGAGTAAAGGAATGCTAACGGGGAATGGAAGGAATATAAAGAAGATCTCCTTCGTCATTATTCAACCAATGCTCATCAGCAAAAGTCAACCTAGCCGGATCCTCAATGGAATCTCCAAACAGATAACCAGGCCTCTCTAAAGCCTGAGTGGAAATGGAGTCTGCTGTAAAAGGAGCATTAGTGATCAACTGGCGTAACGAACGGCATCCCCCATCTCGTATCAGACGGCAGGACTTATCAGAACGACTTCTATCAAACTGAGGAAGTGGACCAATAGCCTGCCTGTCAGCAATAGAAGAGAAAACCTCCCTACCGCAACCAGTAGCAGCATGAGGGGGAAGACTGTCCGCTGGGAATTCAACTGCAACAAAACAAAGATGGAGTTAGAAAATTATCCACGAATTATACAAGAATTAAATCCTTCTCACAAGAGAGCGAGATAGGATCTTCCATTGGGCAATTGGCGAGATGATTTCGAGTGTCCTACACTGGAAGAGCGGTATACATCATCACGTAAACAACATGGTAACATACCCCGACATACACAGTGTAAGACAACACGAAATCGCCCCAATATGTCGGAAGACTTGAATTGGCTAAGCATAACAAGTCTGAAACCTCGATCCCCGTGAAGGAGGATGTCGGCTCTTCTCGGATGACCCGCGAAGGGGTCAAACAAGGATATAGCAAGACCACGAGTTTCCTGAAACCTCGATCCCCGCGAAGGAGGATGTCGGCTCTTCCCGAATGACCCGCGAAGGATCCCCGCGAAGGAGGATGTCGGCTCTTCCCGAATGACCCGCGAAGGGGCCAAACGAGGATATAGCAGGACCATGAGTTTCCTGAAACCTCGATCCCCGCGAAGGAGGATGTCGGCTCTTCCCGAATGACCCGCGAAGGGGCCAAACGAGGATGTAGCAGAACCCCGAGTTTCCTGAAACCTCGATCCCCGCGAAGGAGGATGTCGGTTCTTCCCGAATAACCCGCGAAGGGGCCAAACGAGGATATAGCAGAACCACGAAATTCCTAAAACCTCGATCCCCGCGAAGGAGGATGTCGGTTCTTCCCGAATGACCCGCGAAGGGATCAATCGGGGATATAGAAAGCACACAACACACGTGATCACCCCCAAAAGAGAAAGCCATGGAGGAAGATGCCGCGGGAGCCTCTCTCTCACTGTGCTGCGAAAGGGAGCGACTCCTATGAAATCGTAGTCGGCGCGGAGACATGGAGAACCTGCAATGAAAATCGACGGGTCAGGTACAATCATAAATCTGAACACCCGAAAGTTAAAAGGGAAATTAAGAACTTTAACTAAAATTCTATAAAATAAATAGAATTTTATAGTTGAAGTCTAATTAAACCTATGAGTTTTATGCATGCAAAATAATGAGCTCATATTGCGGTGTAAACCCTCATGATAAAATTTTGGTGAAATACCCAAAATACCCCTCGTGTTCAAGGCTAAATTCTAGTCAAGGACACGCTAAAATACCCCTCGTGTTCAAGGCTAAATTCTAGTCAAGGACACGCTCGAATTGGATCATGATCATCGTGTTTGTTCACCTACATTCTAGTCAAGGACACGCTCGAATTGGATCATGATCATCGTGTTTGTTCACCTAACACCCCCAATATCCCACAATTTTGGCTAACTTTACAAATAAACACTTATGTAAAATTTAGCCAATTTTGCAAATAGACCCCTCCATAAATTTCGGTCTAGTTTCCACATACCCTTCTCAAAATTTTGGCCATAGATTTGTGATCTAAACTTTGGAAATTTCAGCCCTAAAATTTCAGCCCTTATTGCAAATAAACCCCTCTACAATATATGGTTGCTTTTTGCAATTAAACCCCTCAACAATGTTGATTCTTATGCATGAAAACACCTCTCAAAGTTTGGCCAAATAGGCATGAAATTTCAGTCCCAAATTTCAGTCCACTTTTGCACAAAAGCCCCTGAAATTTTGGCCATTGTGTTGTTTTTGCATAAAACCCCCCAAATCTTTGTACATACACACAATCCATCATCAAGATCCTTTCTTTTTCACAAAACCTAACTCATGAGAACAAAAAAACTATGATCTTGGCATTTAAATTCATGTCATACCCCCATTACAGGCATAAAATTGCATTCTTTCTTTAAAAAGGGGAGAGTTTTGAAGGAGAACTTACCCCAAATCAAGAAGCCTCCTTTGAGCTTGAAGATGAAGAAAAAAACATAGCCTTAAGGGGAAGGATATTTTCGGCCAAGAGAAGAGCACAAAAATCCGAATTTTAGGGTTTTAAAGGGGAGAGTTTTAATGGGTTTGGAGTTCTCAAAAGATAAGAACAATGGTGTTTGGATAAGAGGAGGAAGAAGATAGAGTTTAGGGGGAAAAGGACTCTCTTTTGAAAATTTGAAAGAGGGGGAAAGTGCATAGTACAAAAGAAAACAAAAGAAAGAAAAGAGAGAGGCCAGGGTCTCGATTTTTGAACCGAGACACCCTAGGGTGTCTCGGTCTTGGCTGAGACACCCAAGGGTGTCTCGGCCAAGGTTGAGACACCCACGGGTGTCTCAGCCCAGTTCGAGTTCCCGGATGCGCTTTTCAAGCCCGGATTTCGCCCGTCTTCGCCAGTTATTGGATGTTTTGACAAAATCAACACCAATCAACACCGGATGATTTGAAACCCTAGGGTCAACGCCGGTCAACGCGTAACCCTAGCTCAACGCCAGGCAACGCGTTGCGACCAAAAGTCAACGTATGGTGATTCGAAACCCTAGGGTCAATGCCGGTCAACGCGTAACCCTAGGTCAACGCCAGTCAACGCGTTGCGACCAAAAGTCAACGTACGACGTTCAAAACCTTAGGGTCAGCGCCGATCAACGCGTAACCCTAGGTCAACGCCAGTCAACGCGTTGTGATTAAAAGTTAACGTCGGGCGATTCAAAACCCTAAGGTCAACACCAGTCAACGCGTTGTGACCAAAAGTCAACGTATGGTGATTCGAAACCCTAGGGTCAATACCGGTCAACGCGTAACCCTAGGTCAACGCCAGTCAACACGTTGCGATCAAAAGTTAACGTCGGGCGATTCAAAACCCTAAGGTCAACGCTAATTAACGCGTAACCCTAGGTCAACGCCAGTCAACGTGTTGTGACCAAAAGCCAACGTATGGTGATTCGAAACCCTAGGGTCAACGCCGGTCAACGCGTAACCCTAGGTCAACGCCAGTCAATGCGTTGCGATCAAAAGTTAACGTCGGGCGATTCAAAACCCTAAGGTTAACGCCAGTCAATGCGTAACCCTAGGTCAACGCCAGTCAACACGTTACAACCAAAAGTCAACGTCGGGTGATCCAAAACCCTAAGGTCAATGCCGGTCAACGTGTAACCCTGGGTCAACGCCAGTCGACGCGTTGCAACCAAAAGTAAACGTCGGGCGATCCAAAACCCTAAGGTTAATGTCGGTCAACGTGTAACCCTAGGTCAACGCCAGTCAACATGTTACGATCAAGAGTCAACGTACGACGTTCAAAACCTTAGGGTCAACGTCGGTCAACGCGTAACCCTAGGTCAACGCTAGTCAACGCGTTGTGATGAAAAAGTCAACGTAAGACGATTTAAACCCTAAGGTTAACGCCGGTCAACGCGTAACCCTAGGTCAACGCCAATCAATGCGTTGCAATAAGAGAGTCGATGCGACGGAGAGGGTCAATTCAGTGACACGAGCCAAACCCAACTCACCGGTTGTAGACTCGAGACTCCGACGATGGCCAGGCGATAAACGCAGCGCCGGAAGGACTTCAGCTATTCGTCAAAGCATCAAATAGACTGAAAATCGAAGGAACCAAGAGTTGAAGCTAATTAAAGGTCCTTTACACCGATCGAAGGCTGGACCAATCACATCCAAAGTATTCCATCCTCTTCTATAAAAGAAACGAGTCTGGAACGCTTTGGAGGGGGTATCTGTAGGCATCAAAAATTGCCTATAGGTCTCCGTGAGCAGCTCAAAGCTAAGAGGAGATGAGGAACATCACTATCCAAGTCACAGAATCTTGATTGACGTCGATGAATGCTTGAAGTGAATTGACGAACTACGTAGAGTAACAAAATTTTAGAATAACGAAGACACGAACTGATCGGGAGTCCCGCGTCGCTTACAAAAGACAAAACGACACTCCTATCCTAGCTTAATCCATAATGATCTAATCATCAGAACTTATAGAGCTCCTTGTCGGCTTTCCAACGCACTTTGAATCACTCAAATCCGAGTTCGGACAAAGAAGTTACGGTAGAAACGGACAAATGTACAAAACGGAACGTCTTAGCCTGAGTTGAGACACCCCGAGGTGTCTCGGCACAAGCGAGACACCCCAAGGTGTCTCGGCCTCACTGAGACACCTGGGGTGTCTCCATGCCTAAAATTGGGCCGTTGTGCTGTTTCAACCACCCGAACTCCCCCGAGCCTATAAATACAAGCCTCAGGCCTTCATTTTTCTGAATCTGGAATTTTGGAGAAGGAGAATTGACGAAGCCCTGCAAGATTGAAGATTGATCAAGTTCTTCAACGCTAGAGAGAGAGATTCTTCAGATCTGCCCCACCCGCATCCGATCCTTAGGATTATCCCGTTGCGATAATCCTAAGAAGAGCAATTATCTCGCCGTTGCCGAGATAAGCGCTTCTGCTTCTAGATTCCTTCATGAATCGACGGAGTTCTGGATCTGATTTCGCCGTTGCCGAGATAAGCGCTTCTGCTTCTAGATTCCTTCATGAATCGACGGAGTTCTGGATCTGATTTGATTGTCAGGTAGTCCACGGATATCGACATCCCTGTCACCGGCTAAAGACCCACGCAAGCAAGAAACGATGAACGGAACTTGCGTTATTTTCGAGAAAGTTGTAATCTTTCATTTTCTTTTGTTAAAATTTGAATTCTTTGTAAACGATTGATATTATAATGAATTCAGCAATGAAGGTAACTTTTACCGAAAACATCCTCATCATCCACAAACCTTCTCTTCCTTAACAAATTGCACAAAGCATCGCTCTCCTTTCTCTCCAATTTCATCATCAGAATCAAAATTCTGTCTTTCTATTTCAAGAAACCTTGTGTTTACTCGAAAATGCACGATTCTTTTGATACTCAACCGAATCTTGTCCAATCGAGCCGCCACTCCTCTGGAAAATTTGCGCCTCCTGCGACGGCGGCGATGCAATCGGGGACTATATTCATGGTCGGAAACGGCGATGCTGGATTTTGGAACCCTAGCTCGGATTCATCGATCAAGTTAGACTCAAATTAGGCTTTGTTTGTTGCTAATTGTTGAGGTTTTGTGTTTTATTTGTTCGATTAAAGTGTTTATTGCTTGGTAGGCATCATTTGCAAAGGGAATCTGGTAGAAAAGCCAGAATTGAAGAGAATAATTTGTCGATGGATCCAGAGCTCACGGTAATTGTTATTAAAATTTTTGGCTTTTTTCAGTTAGTTGCAATTTTAATATCCTAATTTTGAATTTTTTTTTCAACACTCATTGAATTTGAAAATCGACAGAGCTTTAGGGTGTTAAGTGCAATTAACCCTTTTTTGGATACTGTTCTTGTTTGGGGTTGTTAATTTGTCTCTTCAAGTTATTGGATAGGAACTTCAAACGAGGTCACGGTTACAAGAAGAGGAAATTATGATGCTTCGTGAACAAATTGTTGATGCATGTGAATTGTGAACAAGTATGGATTTGACATGAACTCAGAATTTTCCACTTATATACATATAATTGGAGAATATTGGGCTTCAACTTCTTCTTTTGTTATTAATTCTAGGAGCTACAGCTTTTGAAGGAAAAACAGTTGTTAGAGAGGCGGCTATTTGATTTACGAATGGTTTGTGTGCTTTATCAAGAATATATCTTCTTATATTTTGATAATATTCCTTGTGTTCCTTCTGAATTGATGTGTGTTATTATACTCTTTAAGAAATAGGCACTTGATGAAAAACGGGAAGATGCCATAGAGGATGTTTTGAAGGACCTCAGCCACAAAAAAGTTTGTATCCAAAAAAACATGAGGCTGGCACATCATTTACAAGTATGTTATTTTGACAACAAACATTAGCAAAATACAGCCTATACATATGACCTAGGATTTCATGTGCCTCTTATCTATAGGTATGGGGATGAGAGAACCAAGGCAAGAGCAATGCTTTGTGACATATATCATCATGCTATCTTTGATGAGTTCTCAACTGCATGCGACCTTTTGTTGATGAGTCATTTGCAAGAAGAGATTCAACTCATGGACATATCCTCTTAGTTTCTATTTAACAGGGCAATGGCACAATTTAGTTTATGTGCCTTAAGGACCGGTCTTATTGCTAAAGCGCATGGGTGCCTGTCTAAACTTTATATAGGTGGTAGGGTGAAGAAGCAGCTTGCGCAAGGTGTATCTCATAATCGGTATCATAAAAAAACTCATGAGCAAGTATGTACCATATTTATTGCTAATTTTTTTCATCCATGCTAATATAACTGATTTATCATAACAAAGCCTCTTCCTTAGTAATGATCATTTGCATATCATTTTAAATCTATCATATTGCACTGAATGAGATTTCCTTTTTCCAATTAGATTGTCCACATATGGAAAAGTTTTTTGCTTATTGAGACCACATTAATTTCATGCATATTATGTTGTGCTGTGATGCAAATGTGTTGCTATGCAAACATGCTTGTGTTTGTACATTCTTGTCAGTTAATTGTCATTCCAAGTTATTATCTTACCATATTTGTTTGTGTGTCAACTCAACAAATTGTATTGACATGAAATAGTTAAAGTAGATATTCTACTTAAGGGGCATATGTGCCCTTTGATTTCTTATTCACACTATATTCACGGTAAAGTATGTGTGGATAGATATTATATAGCCATTTTAGGTTTGCTTATGAGATATATGTATTATCATATGCTATTTCTAATTCACTTTTCTGGTTTATTTTCTTTGATTGCTCGATTGATTATTTGAGCTTTGCCAAATGACCTGCTGGGATGTTACTGGGGACAATATATATTCATCTGGGTGGTTTCATTGATAATTTCCAAGCTGTTTGTTTCATAGATTTCTCCCGCTACAATGCAAATCACTATGGAGCTTAGAGTCATTAGGCAAGAGTAGCTGAACAAGTTCTATTTCATATTGAGGGCTCATAGGATTGTTCTTGAAGCGAATTTGTCGATTCAAGTTATTATGGAGAAGTTGCAGTCTTATAAAGCTCGGATTGTGCTTAATTTTTTTGAGGTATTTTTCTTGTTTCTTTATTTTAAATTTGATATTTAATGTTGGTTTTGTTGACAAGTTATAATCTTGTGGTTGATTTGGGATTGATTGTCATGCGAGAGAGATGGGTTTTTGTTGGAATTGGACTGTGTTTCAAAGAACAACATGCGCAAAAATACTGAGAAAGTAAAAACAATATGTGTAAAATATGGATGTAGCATAATTGAGAATGTTATTATGGTCTTGTGGATATACTCTTGAAGATAGGATATAAAATGAATGAATTTGTAGGAGATTAGAGGTTGCTTTTATCAGGATAAAATGAGAGAATCAACTGAAATGGTTTTATCTTGTATAACGGTGACAACTAAAGGCACCCAGTGAGGAGAACTGATATGATTATCGTCAATGGGCAAAAGAGGTTGCAGGTGGACTGAATTGAACTTGGTTGAAGTAATTAAGTAGGAAATGATTATAGCTTATTTAGCAGAGGATAAAGGCATAATAGAATTGAATGAAAGAAAAGAATAGATTCATGATGCTTGACCCCAAATCTGGGATAAAGGCTTTATTACTCTTGTTGTTGTATTATGTTTTGATTTTTTTCTTTAACCCTTTCTTTTTTTTTCTTTTTTTACAAGGTCTCATTTTGGTGTGCATTAGTTTTAGTTTAATATGAGATTCATGGGTTTGTTTATTTTTAATGTTGGGGAAACTGGTCTTTTGATTTGGGGGTATATTATGGTTTTTTTATGTTTTTTTTTTCATTTTTGTTTTGTGTTGATTTTATAGATAAGTTCTGATTTAATATGGTTTATGTAGTTTGTAAGTATACCATCCTTCTAATTCATGGAAGAAATTTGAATATAACTCTTCCTTTGGTTTATGTAGTTTGTAAGTATACCATCCTTCTAATTCATGGAAGAAATTTGAATATAACTCTTCCTTTGTTTTTATGATATTCTGCTATATTTTTTAGGGTTTTCAATATCAACTTGGTGATTTCCGATTGAGAGTTGGAAAGTGTGTTTTCTGCTATATTTTTTAGGGTTTTCAATATCAACTTGGTGATTTCCGATTGAGAGTTGGAAAGTGTGTTCCTTCTACCTCTGAAAGTTTGAGGGGAATCATGATGGAAGTATGTTTTGTATTTTGAATATTCGCATTCTTAAGTATATTTGTATCTCAGTAAACTTTACCTATTCTTTATGCTTCTATGGCTTTATTGTATAAAAATTATTATTAAATTACTAAACATCGCGACTGGAAAACATATTTTATGAAATGAGATCACTTGATAATATTTGCTTGAACACATATGTAGTTGAGTCAATATAACGACCTATAGGTTTACTATCAGGTTGTTATTTCACTTAGCATTGTAGAAATTTATACCTCATTTGTATGTGACCAGTTACTTGCCTGCATATTATGTTTAATGGAGTCTATTGTCAGTCCAAGATTTCTAAATGCCCATTTTGAGGGAAATACAACCATTTGGATGTCATATTTGATAATGCACAATTATAGATTCAAGTACAGTTCAAAAATATTCTTGTGAAATTGGTCATAGTTTATGTGAAATTCAGTCTCATTTTCTCATTTGATCTCAAAATTAGGAGTTAAGATTCTAAACGTGTAAATCCAATCGAATGGTAAATATCAGCATTATGAGAAATCAAACATCTCGACAATCAAACTACATAATTTGGACCTATTTCTTTAATGATCAACTACATGAATTTAAAGCACCTAAAGTTTCGGCTGCAATCGATCAGATAGGCTCTTCAGGGACTTTGTTTTATAAAACATTTTATAGGTACTACTGGTTTTATCAAATTGTTGGGGTATAATATATATCAATTTATCATTAAAGCATGCTAATAATATTCACAGTGTACTAGAGGTTTCATACAGAGAAAGCTGAGACATCGCATGGAAAGCCTTGTTGTGGTAAAGAGTCTCTTTTATCTACTTTCATTGCATGCTAAAGAATCACAAACACATTATATGGACATTTGACGCGAAAGTTTTACCTTCAACTTTTAAGTCCGATATCCATCAACATGGTTCTAGAGATCAAATATTCCTGGAATAAACAATACCTATTTTTAGTTATTGTCAATGACAAATGTGCAGTATATCCAATATTATCTTGAAATACAACATGATAGAGCACATCATTATGATATTATTTGATCATTTTCTTTTTGAACAAGTTACTTGCATTATGACGCTAACGTACATTCTTAACCCCAGGGGTTGCGAAATGCAATGGTAGGAAAACTCAAGATGCCAAGAAAGTCCCAAGTGAGAGATTGCCCTCACATATCATTAAAGTTATAAGAAAAAATAAGTAATAAGATAATAAATAAAACAAAGAAGTAAAAAATATTCATTTACTACTTGCTCCCTATCTATTCTTTATTAGAGCTTTGTCATGAACTTTAAATTAGTTCAAAATTTGTTATAATCATTGGTGAACATGTTTATTGGTATAATAGGTATTTTTATGGAAGGATAAGTTTATTTATGAATGAAAAGTTTTAATGGATAAGATCAAGTAAAAGCTCATTGCCCTTTAGGAAAATTGTGATTCCATTGTTTTAGTTGGGATACAAAAAACAAACTTGAGCTCGCCAATTCCACTTTTTCTAATTGGGATACAAAAACAGACTTGAGTACACTCATCCCACTTGATTAAAACATTTTAACTAATAAATAAATCAGACCGGGATTTCTACTTAATTAAAAAGAATGAAAGATATTGAACCTAAACATTTATTTGTTGGAAAGCAATATATTCTAATAATGTCCACTTAATTTGGGTGTAGGTAGTGGTTGTGTGAACAAGCTGAAGATATTTTCAAAGTCAATGACACTCAAAAGAAAGTATGCAACTCTGGTTAGCAATTCAATCCAGAGGATCCGCTCACCAATCAGAATAAAGGTCCAGCAAAAAATTCAAAAAAAAATCAAAGATACAAATGGGACTTTGAAAATCTATAAATTTAAAAGTTTAAAAAAAGTACCCTTAAAGTTTATTGACTTAAAAAAGAGTTCAAAGGCAAAGGTAATAAGTGATTTTCTTGTAGATCTTCAGCATAAAATAGGGCAGTTTAATGCAAATAATGCTAAAGATAGCAGATGATATTTAAAGGGAAGGACAAAGTTTAATGATTGTTTTGGAATTTATGTGGGATTTTGAAATTTTCATGTGTGAATATATGTACCCACACATTAGGTATTGCAAAGGCTTAGTCAAACTTCTGATGTCATGAGCTTGGATTTACATCCACATCACCAAACATTACTTTTACGTATATTCTTGTGATAATATTTGATTGATCGATCACGTTATAGATGCAACCGGTGTACTATCACCCAATCAATCACTAAATTTAATTTCATTGTTCAAATATTAAATTTTTAGCTTATGTCTATATGTTTGATCCATTGCTTACATTCAATAATTTAAGGCTAAATACCAATATTGGTATTTTAATTCTATCCTAATTTCCAACAAGGTATTTTAAAAAGGTAAATCTGCTTTAAGACATTTTAATTGATCCAACTAACCAATAAGGCATGGTTTCTCGTCGGCGGGCAACCGCTGCTAAAAATGAGTTTTGAGACATCACGTGCCATGCACGTGACGAGATCTTGTCGGAAATTTGCCCGCCGACGAGAAAACATGCCTTATTGATTAGTTAGATCAATTAAAATGTCTTAAAACGGGTTTGCCTATTTAAAATACCTTGTTGGAAATTAGGGTGGAATTAAAATACCAATATGGATATTTAGCCAATAATTTAATAACAAATATTTCCCTAAATAAAATTATAAATATATAATAAAAAATAAAAAATTTACCACGTACATTGCACATGCAATCCAACTAGTTTTATGGGAAAGAGGCACTTTATTTCTTATTGTTGTAAGTTGTTTTAGGAAAGCATGTGGTAAAATATGCTGAGGGATTATTTCTTAATAAAATTGGTCTACTACCATAAGAACAAGCTGTTGCTCTGCATTATTGTGGAAGTTATTGTAGAGAATCTAGTGTTGGCTCATAATAATGTGATCAGTGTGCCAATTATAACTAAGGGAGTTATCTCTACCTATCATTCATAAAAAAGAATATTTACTTCCTAAAGAAACGCAATATCACAGTCAACAAAGGAATATCGCATAAACAACATGACAATGTGAGTTAGTTCTCAGTGTGCCAATTATAACCGAAAGAATTGTCTCTACATGCCATTCATCAAGAATATAGAGCAAAACTTGTGTCAACTTAAGTGGATAGCAAAAAGTTATCCACTAAACTTTTTAGCCACTTATATTGCCTAGGGATCCTTGCATGATATGAAAATATTTTTTGTATTAATAAATGAGTGGATAGAAAGTTTAGTGGACATCAACTTAAGTTGATAGGAGTCTCACTCACTCACTCACTCACACACACACACTTCCTAAAGAAGCGTGATATCACAGTCAACAAAGGAATATCACAAAAACAACATGACAATATGAGTTAGTTGGATGAAGATGTCTATAAATATAAGTATTTAGTTCCTTTAGAACTTGCCATTAACCATGTCAAAGATGTCTAAACCTACCTTCTTTTTCAAAAAAATTCTGTCGAAAACATCTACAATACTACAAAATTATTTCACAACGAATTAAGTAGAAATTTCCAGTTTTGCTTGCTGGAATTTTTATTTTCTATTGTATCCTGAGAAGAAAATTTGTATTAACCCGAAACAACTTTGAATATCAAGTGGGGAAAATATTTCTTTAAGAAAAGTGTTTCACGCCTCAGAATTTTTATCTCCTTTATAATTTTTCTAACAATCTTAAAGAAATATTTCTGTAACAATGGAGTCGGAATCAATCAAGGTGATGGATCAAGACATGGTCAAATTGGACCGATTCGACGAGAATAATTTCTCCCGCTAGCAAGACAAGATGATGTTCCTTCTTACAGCATTGAAGATCTCCTACATCCTCGACCCCAAACTGCATGTAAAACCCTAAAAATTTGTGTTAATATAATTAACATATGATTAATCATAATAAGTGGATATTTATTGAGATAAATATGAATATATGGTGTATGATCATACTAACATATGTTTTGAGTATAAACAAGTTAGTTAAAGAGAAAGAAATGAGTCAAACATGCACAAAGGCCAAGAGTGAAAATCTGGGAAAAATAACCAGTTGAGAGTTTCTATATTTTAGACACTGATACTATTAGAATTTGGAAAAACAAAAAAGATCAAAGTTGTAGGTCTCTTCAATATCTATCCAACAAGTCCTAGATCACCTCATTTTGAGGTCAGAAAAGAAAGTTACAGTTAGAATACCAAAAGAGTATTTTCCTAGTCAGATCAGTTTCCTGGTTCGAGTTGGTTTCGGGTATTTTCAGGCTCACACCCGTTTTTCTACTATATATAACATGTATTCACAAAATTTTTAGTACTATTTTAGTATTTTAAAACCCTAGTAGCCACCAAACTTCCCCATAAACCCTATTTTGATTTTTGAGTAAGATTCAAAGGTTTTGGAGCGGGATTTTGGTTTGTTTTTAGCTTTTGGCTCAGGGATCTACGTTGGCATTGCATCTTGCACATTTTTCAACATGTCTCAGGTGAGTTTCATCTTTGCTAATCCCTCTCCTAGTTTTTAAAATATTTTTGAAAAGTTTTTAATGAGTTTTATAGAACCTAATCAATTAACTTGTGTATAAAAATTAGATCTTTTGTATTAGATGTATAAAGACTAGGTCTTTTCATGTTAAAGAGATTAACCACGCATTTTACAGAAGTATTTTAAGATCTAAAAATGATTTAAAATGTTATTTATCTGAATTTAGATGTCTTATTCTTCGTTTTAAAGTTTCGTGCATGATTGAAGGTTTAAATACGATTTCTTATGCAAATGATCATGCTTGTTATATTCTACAGAAAAACTACAACACATCTATACTGTTTAACTAGAAATTTAAAATAACAAATGAAATCC